CCCCCCCTGGCGCTCTCTGTGTCCCTGTCTCTCTCCCCCCCTGGCCCGGCGTGTCCTTTCGCGCCGGTGTCGGCCGGATCAGACGGAATGGCCGGGCTGAGATGGTGTCCCGCTCCCGGCTCGGGGCCGGTGGCGGCGATCGGCCGTGCGTGCCGCAAACGGCCCCCGGTGAATCCAGGGGAGCCGTGGCATATGCCAATGGATGGCGTGGAATGGCGCGGGAAGGGCGGGCGTGATCACTCACGAGGAGATCAGCCGGCACTTAGGTGGAAGGCGAAAAATGCGCGCCGGGGCGCACTTATTTGCTTACGCATGCGCCCGTGTGCGTGCACGCGCGTGCGGCTCCCTTGCCAGCTGGCGGCAGAGGGGGCGGGCACTTTTCCCCCCTGTTCCCGAGGGGTGTGCCCGCGCATGCTGGCTCGTGCGTGGAGGCCCCCCTCCCCTGGTGTCCCCCGCGCCCCCGCGCCCCCGCGCCCCCGCGCCCCGCCCGGCTGTTCGGAGATGTTCTGGGACACCAGGCTCCCCAGGTGCGTGGGCGTCGCCCGGCTGGGGGTTTATTCCCTGGACGCGCCCCAGGTCCGTTTGACTTGCTTCGGCCGTGGCAGGCGTTCCCCAGCGAACGGCGCACTGAGACTCGCAGTGAGAACCCCACGGACGCGCGGAGCCCCCCCTACCGGGGGCCGTTTTCGGCATGGGAGCTCGGGTGGGGCGCGGATCGGGCCCTTTTCTTCCTGCTGTCCGTCGCACGGGCCTTCGCCGTAGGCTGCCCCCCCCCCCCCCCCCCCCCCGCACGCCCTGCACCTTGGCGACCCGCATCCCGGCCTCCTTTCCCCGGGCTCGGAGGCCGAGTCCCTATCGGGCCCCCGCGTCCCGACGTCCGGGGGCCTCGCCCCGTCAGCGTGCGTCGGACGGCCAGCAGCCCTGCTCAAGCGGACCGTGCCTCGGCTCGGTCCCCCCCCCCCCCCCCCCCCCCCCCAGGATCCTCGCCCCCCCCCCCCCCCCCCCGCCCCCGGCCCCCGGTGCTGACGCGTGCGCCAGGGCAGGCGGTGGCTCGAGACCCTTCTTCCCTTCTCCCTGCCGTTCTTTCCCCCGCTCACCCCCGGCCTCCTGGGCCGCCTCGCCCGCTCTCGATCCCGGGGCGGCGAGTTGCGGCGCGGCCGCCCGGAGGCACCGGCCGGGGGGCACGGGGCGGGGATGCGGGCAAACTGCACGCTCCGAGCCCGATGCGGCCTTCGCCGCGCGTCACCGGGCCGAGCGCCCGGGCGGGGCGCTCTCTCCCTCGCCGTGCTTGGTCTGTTAACAGCCGCCGCTCCCTGTCAGCCTCCGGGGTGGACTCGGCGAAGGGGCGCCCTCTGGCGCGACCGCGCTCCGCGCGACTTTTTCTCACGATTCGTGAGAGCGCTCCCTGCCGAAGGGCGGCGGCGCATACGCACGCTCGGCTGAGCCTCCCTGCTGCCCCTGGGGCACGGGGGGTCGGGCCGGGCTCCGTGCGTTCTCGGCAAGCGCATCTGGACTCCCTCTCGCGGGCACCCGTGCGATCCGGGACCCGTCCCCCGCGAGACGCCCGACGGTCCGGGGGCCTGCCGTTTGCTGCTCCCGCTCAGCCTCTCCTTCTCTGTCTCTGCCTCTCTCTCTCTCTCTGCCTCCCCTGTCCTCGGAATCGCGGGATTCCGAGGCGCGCTCGCGGCCGGGCGACAAGCAGGTTGAGGGGCGCCGGCCTGAGCGATGGGTGTCATTCAGGTGGGGTCTCCCTCGGGGGCTCCGGGCAGCCGCCTCGCCTTGGACATGTGCGCGTGGCTGGACGACCACAAACCCGGCGCCCGCTCGCAGGCATGCTTGCCAGCATGCAACGAAGCCCGCCTCCCACCTCCGCCCGCGTGCACCCCGGCTTTACGTGCCTTTCTGTCCGGATGCCGCTATGCGAGGCGTCCCCCAGCCCCTGCTCCCCGGCTTGGGGGAGGGGCCGCGATCGCCGCGCCGATCGGCCGCAACAAGGGTAGGGGCCGGGGGCCGGTCTCCACTGGCCCCGCCCCCGGCCGGTCGCCGCCTCGGAAAATTCGGTCCGGCCCGGTTGTCTTCGTTCCCCCGGCCCTTGCTTGCGGTTCTCCGCCCCTTCCCAGGGGCCGGGATGTTCCCCGCGACCGAGCCCCCGCCCCATCGGCCGGAGAATGCGTGGTTCTGCGATCTAGCTGGCGTGCCCATATTTTCCCGGGGGCCCTCGAGGAAATGGTCATCGCCCCGGCGCCCCCCCCCCCCCCCTCCGGTCTCCTGGGAGGTTCCTCGATGTGTGCCGGTGTGTGCATGCGCGTCTCGTCTTCTCCCCTCTTGGCGTCGCCTCGCCATACCAGCCCCGCCCCCCCCGGTCTTTGCGCCGAGCTGGCAACAGGCGCCCCAGCGCGGATCAGCTATATGGAGTACCAGGGGCCCCGCCCGCTGGCGTAGCCCAGGAATCCGTCATCCGCCACCTCCTTTCCCTCTTTGCCTCCCCCCTCCTTTTTTCCTCCCAGACACACACACACATACATATACGCAGCCTCCTCCTCCGGTCCTTGCCCGCGCCCCGGTCGGCCGAGTCGCATGCCACTCGGCCATCCCTTCCCCGAGCCCCCCCCCAGCCTGATTGTGCCCCTCCTCCGGGTGTTTTGCTACCTGCTTGCCAACCGCGCGGCTCATGCCCCTGCCAGCGGCGCTGCCTGCCCCCGGGGTGCCGGGAGGGCCGCGGCTGGCCGCGGTCCTGGGCCGCGCGGCTCTCGAGGCGGCCACCGCCGGCAGCACCCTGGACCCCGGGCGCGGCCTGCGTGTCGTCCTCATTGCCAGCCTTGGGACTGTGATCGGCGCGGCGGCCGTTCTGCTGCCAGCCGCCCGAAGCCCACGAGCTCTGTCGGCCTCGCTGGGTCTCGGCTGTGGCGCCATGCTCTGGGCGGCTCTGGCGGAAATTGTTCCCGAGGCCCGGGCCGCTCTGGGCGGCCAGGCCGGTGACCCGGGCCACCCGCCCCCCAGCCCGTACGCCGTGAACCTCACCGTGCTGGCGTGGTTCTTGCTCGGGGTGGGCCTGGTGGTTTTGCTCGAGGCCCTGTCCGAGCGCGTGCTCTCCAACACCGAGGAGGCCACCGATCCCGAGTCCAACCTGGCTGAAATCGATGAGCATGGCATCCTCCGGCCGGCCTCCTTCGCCGACACAACCCCCTCAAGGGTGTCTTCCTCCACCTGTGCTGGAGATGCGACCAGCGCCCAAGTAGCCAGGTTCGTTTCATGATCCCCTCCTTTCGGTGCCCTTTCACGAGTGTCCTTGTGTGTGTGTGTGTGTGTGTGTGTGTGGGGTGTTGTGCAGCTGTGCAGTTAGTGCTATGATCTCTTCAAGCTGTCGGCTTTTCCTCCCATGCGACG